TTTTTTTTTTTTTCATTTGTTTTGCTTCGGTTTATTTTGATTTTAGGGTTTTTTGTTTTGTTTTGTTTTGGTACTGGGGATTGAACTCAGGACCTTGCAGGCAGTGACAGCACTGACCTAAATCCCTGGCCCACCTCACTCATCTTTTTAATGCTGGATGCCAAAGCGAGGGGTGAGGGAGGTGGGAGTGGGTGGGTGCAAAGCTCTTGGGGTCCCGAGGGGTGAGTGGTCCTAAACCCTGATAAACTCTAATCACAGCGTTAAAGGACCCTATGGCCAGAAGAGCCTCATATCATAAGGCCTACAAATACATCATCAGAAGCCCAGACCTGTTTACTCATCCCCCACCAATGAACAGTAGCCACAATGAAAACAATAACAAAATAATAACAGATGCCATTCACTTGACAAGCACTATCTCTGATCTTCACCACCACCCTGAAGGAGGGATGTTTACTCCCACTGTACAGAGAGAAGACAGTCAGAGAGGGCACATTATATTTGCCCAGGTGAGGAAGCAGACAAACTAAGATTCAAACCCAGACCTATCCCACCAGAGCCCAGGCTGCACCCCCACTTCCCGCCCTGATGAGGGGTTCTTCCACTGGGTTCCTGTCCACAGAGGTAGCATTGCTGTGTCCAGTATCTATCCTTAGCCACTGTGGAATAAGGCTGTGTCCACAAAGAATGCAGTCCCCTTCCCATTCTGTAGGTGAGGAAACTGAGGCTTCTCTGAAAGCTAGGCCATGCCCAGGAGACTGAAACATTCAGAGTACAGAGATATCTCAATGCAACTTGTCTGATATCACACTACAAAAGTGGCCCAGCTGGGATCTGACCCCAAGCAGTGAGGTTTCAGAGCCTGAGCCCTTAACCTCTCCACATCACTGGCTGCCAGGAGCTAGGACCAAGTCCAGCCTGAATTGACCCAGCTGACCCTGTACTGCCACTGTTCCTGGCCATCCCAGAGCCCCCAGCTGCGCACAGGAGCCGAAGGAGTCCCCTGGGCAAAGGGCAGTAAATAGCTGCCACCTGCTCCTGCTTGGTGAGTGAGAACAAGCAGGGCCCTTTGCCCAATAGAGGAAGTTCCTGGGCTGACACAGAAGGCCTGCCCTAGGTTTCCAGCGCAGCCTGGGTTCAGGATGGGCTACTTCCGGTGCCCATTCTGCATGAGCAGGATATAAAGCCCCCTCCTAGCCACCAGGCCAACGGGCATTGCCCCTTTAAGCTGTCGGTAGCTGGCTGGCATGCCCGGTGGGTGAGTCAGCACCCAGTGCCCGCTGACTCACCCACCGGAAGCCTGGCTGCCTCAGCCCCATTCCCCACATGGACGGCTGAGAACTTTGCTCCGTTCAGGGCCTGAGCCGCAGGCTGGCTGATAGAGAGTTTCCTGTGCGTCACACCAGGGGTGGGGGAAGTCCCCGAGGTGCCACCCTCCAATCTTTCCAATAGCCAGGATAGGAGGGCGCCTGCAACCACAGCTGGAGGGCCAGGTTGAGACAATGCTTCCTGAAGCTTTACTGGACAGCCAGAGCAGCCATGTTAAGATCAACCATGCAGTGCCCAGCAATGGCAGTCCCAAGCGGCAGGGGTAGCAACATGACACAAAGACAAATGTGACTTGCAGAATGGGACCCTGCTGACCACATGTGCACCTGCACACTGGCCCCAGCACCAGTTGCCTTTGCCCTCTGATCCCAGCCAGAGATGACATGTGGGCAAGGAGGCCAGAGAAGCAAAGCTGTAGGCCTCATGCACTCAGGGAAAACTCCCCAGGCCTGTGATACAGGGGACAGGTTAGGTGCCTGCTGCCAGGCAGGAAGCTCAAAGGTAAAGCTCCAGTAAGGTCAAGTGCCAGCCACTCCCTGCTTTGTTCAAATTCCTTTGAGAAGGTAGAGAAGAGCTCCAAGTTGAGGCTCAGTGCCCAGGACAAGGAGGGCACAGGTGAGGACCCCTGCTCTGTAGATTCAGTTCAGCCACTTCTTGTAAGACCTTTGTTTTCCAATAGATGGGACTGCTATGAGTATGCAACGTGCCAGCTATAAAGGGCTGTGCACACAAGAGGCAGCACTTCTCTCTCAGTCTACCCTCAGGCTTGGCTAGTTCTGGGTGTGATGAAGGGAAGAAATGGGTATGCTACCGCTCAGCTCAAACAGCCAGTGCAAAAATGGGACAAGGGAGCACTGGAAGGCCACTGTGGGGACCAAATATGGTGAGGCCCTACCTCCATTTGTCACAGTTGTGTGGTTTTGGCAAGGCAGATAGTTCCCCTGAGCCTCAGTCTTCTTACCTGTCGGTGAAGCTATGAGGAACAAATGAGACAAGGCATGGCATGTGGAAAAAGCTTGACATATGGTAGCTCTTAGGAATTTTGGTGACAGGTCATTGTGGCTCCCCATCACATCCTTCTCCAGACCCCAAAGAGGCTACAGGGTCCTTAGATCGTGGGGAAGGCCCTGATCTCCAACCAATCCACCCAAAATCATCTGTTATCTGGCTTCACAAGTGTGAAACTCATCCTGGCTCTCTCTGCAGAGAGGCCCAGGGAGGGCAAAGCTAGGCCTTAAGTCACACAGCACATGGGGGTCAGTGGCACCCCTTTATCCCCACAGCACCTTTCCATCACACCATGACCCCCTCTCCCTTTACCACTACAACTGCAACTTTTGTTTTGATGAGGCTTCTCCTGCCTGGAAGAGATGAAATGCCTTGCTTTGAACAACAAACACTGCTCCCAACCCCTTCCCTAACTCTCCCAAGCAAAGTATCTGATTTCCCGGTTCCCAAGCTCCACGAGGTCTGTGGATGGCAAGTCCCTCCCCAGCACCTCCCCAGCAAGTGCCTCCGAAGTTACTCACAGCGGTTAGGCAATGGTCAGGGATCCAGCCTCCCACTTATGTAAGACGTAATTACCCTGCCCACCCAGCTCAGCCCACAGACACCACAGCCACCAGCAGCAGGGGCCAGGAAGTGTTCACACCTTCCCCAGAACCCCCAGTTTGCCCAGGTCTGAGCCCCTCCAAAGAAGAAGAGGGAAAACCCTTGCTGAGGAGCCCTCTAAGTGTCCCGTTACCTTCTACTCTCTGGAGCTACAGTCCAGAGGTAAGGCCCTGACCTCACATGACTTAGACCTTTCCAGCAAGAAAATGGTTAACAATAACAAGATTTGCAGAGGCAGCCCCTTCCTGACCACCTACTATGTGCTAGGAGCATGCTGAACTCTTTGTCACTTCACCCACACTTGCTTAAAGCATTTCTGCAGTCACAATCTCAAGTCATACTCCTGATGTTCACTTTACAGATAAGGAAACTGCGGCCCAGAGACATCAAGAAGCTTGCCAGGGTGAGGCAGCAGCAGGTTGATAGAGCCAAGTCAGCTCATTCATTACAGCTATGTCCGGTTTGGAACTCTCACAGCCCAGCCTACTGAGACTTCAACATGCCAAAAACATCCTTTCCTCTTCCTGAAAAAAAAAATCCCCCCTTTGCCCTCCAAGTCTTGTCCTCCCCCCTCTGCATGACAAATCCTGCTGCTTCGGCTGCCCCAGCCACCACCGCCACCTCACAAAAATTTCCAGGAAGGCTAGTTACTTGGAGAAGACCAGCAATCCCTTTGCACAGCCAGCACCCTGGTCTGGCAGCCAGCCCAGGTCCTGAGCTGTAGACAGGCTGGGAGCAATCAGCCCAGCAGACAAGGTGGCACAGCAGGGGGTAAGCGCTCCAAGAGCAGAAAGAAGCATGCAATTTAAGTCAAGGAGAAGCCACAGAGAGGGATCTGTGCTAGTGAAGGATGGGAGGCCAAGCGACCATCGGAGACAGAGCTGCAGGATGAGCTGCAGGCCAGCTAAGGAAGGGCAGTGTGGAACCTTCAGGGATGGAGAGACCTTTGGGGGATGGGGAGTTGTGAACTAAGGTGTAACCAGGGCACCCGCACTGTGGGCACAGGGAAGTTTCCAACAACAGTAACATCTTTGTGGCCCAAATGGAGAATAAGACTTAAATTCCAACTCCCAGTCAGGGGCTAAAAGGCAGGGTGGTGCAACCCAATGACCCATCGGGGAGTAGAGCGAACCCACCCTGGAACCAAGGGAGTTTCTGCCAAGACTGCCAAGGAGGAGTTCAAGGTGATTCCTGACCTGAGGCGAGGTGACCAGAAGGAGGTCCTAGCCTGAGTTCAACCTGGGAGATCACAGCCTTAGTACAGTCCCAAGGCCTAAACTGGGGGGTCTGGATGAAGTGTCGGTCTGGGGCCGGACCCGGGGTCCAAATAGAGGGTGTTCCTGGGCCGGAGTACTGTTTTCCAGGCCCAGCACAGGATAGGGAGAGACCACATGGAGGTCGGTGATCACAGCCTGACCGGATCCGGCTGGGCGCAGGGGTCAGGCCGCGGTGCCAGCGGCGCACCTACCTTTGGACTGGGGCAGGCTGGCAGGCTGACTCGAGGCAGTCGACTCCATGCTGCAGACGGATCTCAAGAGGCGGCGGAAACTAATCTAGAGGGCAACGGGCTCCACCCGGGCCGAGCGTGCTCATGGCTGAGGGCGGGTGGCCCGGGCGCGGAAGAAAAGCAGAGGTGGCAGCTGAACCTAGTACGCGTCCGAGATAGCCGAGGCCAGATCCATACTGTGAAACGCCGCAGGGGCCCGGGCCGGACAACGACGACGCAGGCTCCGCCCAGGCACTCCGATTGGTCTTCCGGTCTCCAGGGCCCGTCCCCTGCCTATCACACACCGGCCAGGGGCTGTCTGTCAAGCACAAGCCTTACCGCCCAAGAACTCAGGGTCCGGCCCCGCCCGCTGTCTGTCAAGCCCGCTGGCCACTCAGAAAACCAAACCCCAGTCAGGCTCGGCCCCTCCCGTGCTAGAGCCACTTCCCTTCGGCTGCCTGTCAAGACGCAATCTCCACCCACTCTCCAAGAGTCATAGAGCCGGCCTCCCGCCTGTCAAGCTCAGGCCTGGCCCCTTACACACCTCCAGCCTCACAGTCCCCTGCAAGTGCCCCGCCGTGAAAGAGTCTCGGTGTGTCATCCGGAAAAACCCCTGAGATTCCCGAGACCGACTGGGTGGATGCTGCGGCAAGGTTAAAAGTTTGCTCCTGTTACCTGGATTCAGGTCTGACTTGACAATTGTAGTCCCGGTGACCTTGGGTGAGTCGGTGACACCCTGGGCCTCCGTTTCCACCTGCGTGAAAGCAGGGATAACAACCCTGCACCCCACACACACCTCTTGAGAATGCGAGCCTGGCGTTGGCGGTGGGAAATGGGTAAATGTTTGTTGATTGACTGTTGTAAAGGGTTTAGCTAGCACCTTGTCTAGTATGCATGTATTTATTCCTGCCTTAGCAAGCATCCACGGGTGCCTGATTGTGCCAGGCACCGTGCCAGGATGCGGATGCAGGTGTAAACCTGGAGGTGATGCAAGTAGCTTTCTTGATTGTGTCATTGATTGTGTCATTAGTGTGTCACAGAGGGAAACAGAGTCGCAGCTGATATAAGGTGTCATTTCAACACATTTCACACCCTTTGGCAAGCCATCCTGACTTTCCTGGGCCTTGTTTCTCTCCTGTCCACTTGCTTATCTGTATAATGACTAACTTGGCCAGCCCACCCTCTGTTCCCACTTAGATCCTAGGGGATTTCAAGAGCCATTAACTATTCTGGTGCTGCAGTCAGGTGACTGCATGGAAAGCCAAGGTTGGCAAGGCAGGAAAGGCAAGGCAAAGGTCAAGAGACCAGCCCCTGGCAGCCAGGCAGGAATGAGTGTGTGCTCTATCAGGGACCTCACCTGAGGGAAGCAGATTTCACCACCTGCTAAGAATGCTGGTAGCAAAGGCTGACCTCTGCTTGTAAAATGGGGACCCTGCAGGCCCCGCCCACACAGCATCGGGAAGGATCAGATGAGATAAGAAAGATGTTACAATTACCATTGTTCTCCTGTGTCTCTTGCTCACTCTCTCCAGGCAGTGGAGTGGAAATCATGAGTTTTGGACTAAGGCAGACATGGGTTTGAATGCTAACTCTCCTGCTCACTAACCAAATGACCCTGGAGAAGTCACTGAACAGCTCTGAGCTTACTTATCCTGTGGGACAGTGAGGTCTCTGAGAACATTTTCATGGGTACAAGCTCAGAAGTGTTTGACCTAGGGCCTGGCACTTGCTATGTGGCTGGGGAATGAGCTGGTAAACACACTGTGGACCACTTCCAACAGGAAATCATCTCCATTGTACTACCCCTAAGTGTCCCGAGCACCTTGGGACCTGCACTTACCCATCTTTAACATGTGCACCCAGCTGCAGGTACTTCCTTACAAAACTGCAGGCCTAGTGTGGGAGGTTTTCTGGGCTCAGGCCCCTGCCAGCTGTTCTGCTCCTCCCACCCTCCCCCTTATTTACTAAGTTGAAGGGTCTTAATGCTGCCCCTTGATCATATCATTGCTGCCCACCTCAGGGCTTTCCCTTTGCTTCTTCTTCTATGTGGACCATCTTTCCCATCCTCCACTCCATGTTTCCTGGGGCTGGTTCCCTTTCATCCCTCAGATCTCCTCCTAAATGAATGCCTCAAGAGGCCTTCCTAGTCATGGACCCAAATCAGCCTTAATTCTCTGCACAGCTTTTGTGCCACCAATGACTTGCCTACTGGCTCTGTTTCTCATGCAGCTTTCCATTCCTCCTGAGCAGGAATCCTGCCCATCTTATTTCTTGCTGCATTCCTGAGGCATAGCCCAAAGCCACACATACAGTAGGTGCCTAATAACTATCTGAGGAATGAACAGAGGAAGGAGGAAAGCACACTGCAGACAGAGGTGAAGCGTATCTAGTCCCATGCCAGCCTCCCAGGCCCCAGGGTGACTCAGATATGGTTCTCACATACAAGGAGTTTGTGGCTTAGTCAGAGAGCCTGACAAACAGCCCAAGAATCACAGAACTCTATGTGGGGTGCTATAAATAGATGCATGAGCAGGAGTCCCAGGAAAGGGCCCGACTCCACCTGGGTGGGGCCAGGGAAGGCTTCTCAGATGAGGTGACCTTGACACAGGACCTTTAAAGCCCAGTAGAGGCTCTCCAGGCAGAGACAAGAAAGAGCATCCTAGAAAACAGCAGAGTGTGGGTGAGTGTAAAGGCCACACGGAGGCCTTGCTATGCTGCAGTGTAGAGTGCTGGGGTGAAGAGCATGGCTAGGGTGCCATCTCTTCTCTCAAGCCATGTTGGCCTTCTTCTGCCTCCAGGGAGCACACTCAGGCCAGGGAATGTCACAGACTCTCAGAAAATGGAAAAGCCATTGGACATAGTTTCTACTAGGCTGCCTGTTGCCCTGAGTTCTAGGAAAAAAATTACAAATGCATCTCTCTACAAATGCTGGAAAACTGAGGCTCAGGAGGCGTGGCCCAAGTTAGGGTGTGAGTATGACTGGGGTGCAGAAAGAGGATGACCAAACCCAGGACAAGGGTAACTCATTCATTCAATCATTGAAGAAATGTTCATTGGGCATGTGCTGGGAGGCACAGCACTGAACAAGGAGGAGTCAGTTCCTTGCACTCAGGGAGGGGACGACCTCAGGGACAATGCAGACATGCAAAATGCCTAAGTGGGATACAGCAAGTTAGGGCATGACAAACACTGTGGGGAAAAAATAGAAGCGGTGCCAAGGAATGTAGTGAGGGCTGAAAAAATATGAGAAAATTAAAAAATGGAAATAGTTTGTTAATGGGGAGGGGAGAAGGGGGTGAAGGGAGGGCAGGGACAAGGGGAAAAAATGAGAACCAAGACCTGTCATGTGAAGGTACAGGATCCCAGTAATGAATGTAACAGTATTATAGACCTAGACTGTACCAATAAACTCAATAAAAAGGAAAAAAAAAGAGTTCAGCTACATGTTTGGACTCCTTTCTCTACTACTAGTAAAAAAAAAAAAAAGAGAGAGAGAGGTCAGGAAAAGCTTCCTAGAAGGTGACATGTAAGCATAGATCTGAGGAGGTGAGGGAAGGAAAGAGTTCTCAAGGCAGAGGGACAGCACATGCAAAGCCCTGAGGTGGATGGCTCTTGGGGGAGACAAGGTAACCAGTGTGGCTGGGTGGTAGGAGGTGAGGGACTCTACTCTCCTATGCACATCATGCACATGTGTTCACACACCCCGGCAGTCCCACTCTCATATGGTGGCACACTCTAAGTGCGCGCGCGCACACACACACACACGCTTACAAATGGAATGGGGTGCAGAAACAGGTGCACCAAAATGGAGCAGCCATAAGGTGCGGGCGCGTCCACAGACAACCCTATTGCACACTCCACAGCTTGCTGGCCCACAGCGCCCTCTGGTGCCCAGGCCCAGCACAGCAGCACTCTGGGGTGCTCTGTGCAGGACCTGCAACCTTAGAGGCTGAACCATCCAGGCTGCTCCTTGTCCCCGGGCCTTCTACCCTGCAGCCAAAAAGCCTTCCAAAACAGGGCTGTCCAATCCAAATGATAAATATAACTGTACTGTATATTTAAAAGTACCAATAAGCTCAATAAGAAAAAACAAAAAACAACAACAACAAAAACCAAACAGGGCTGTCCATACTCTAAACGCTTCTGTGGTTTCCTAAGCCAGGAACTTCCAAACTCTGGTCCTGCCAATGTTTCCAGAAACTCCAGTCCAGCAGCTCCCAGCCTGAGCTTTCCCCTTGTATCTTTCTTTGTAAAGGCTGTTTGTTCCCTTGGCCAGCAATGCCCTTCCCTGTCTTCTTCACTTGACATAGTCTCGCCCTGCTCCTTACCCTGCCTGCACCTCATCCATCCCCTCTCATCATCTCTCTGTTTCACCAGTGGCCAGAAGCCCATCTGCCTCTCCTATAAGATTTGTACTACTCCTAAGCAAAAGCAGAGGCTTGTTCCCCCCAGCCCAACATCAGCTATGCTACAGGTGGTGCCCTGGGAAAGGGAGAGTTATCCCTCAATAAGTTTGTAGGCATTGGGGAACTTGTTGCTCAAGGTCTAGTTCTGAAGCTGAGACAGACAGGAGAATATGCAAAGGGCTCACCTGCTTCTTTATTTTACCTTGTTTTATTTATTTTGCAGTACTGGGTATTGAACCCAGGGCCTCACATATGCTAGGTAAGTGCTCTATCACTGAGCTGCACTCCCAGCCTTATTTAGATTTTAATTTGAGTCAGGGTCTCACTGAGTCACCCAGGCCTTGAACTTGCAGTCCTACTGCCTCAGCCTTAGAAGTAGTGGAGATTATACCACGTCACCTGCTTTTTAAAAATGGGTGCCAGGGCTGGGGATTTAGCTCAGTGGTTCCACTGCCTGCCTCATAAGTGCAAGGCCCCGAGTTCAATCCCTGGTACCAAAAAAAAAAGGGCTGCCAATCTTGAATATCAAAGGATGAATTCATGCACTTGACATGGCTCTAACTGCAAAGCATCCAATACCACATTCACAGCCCTTCCTAGGTGCTGATCCCTTGAAGTGAATCCTCTATGGGCTCATTGCAGTGTCTCCAGCACAGTAGTTGCTTAGCAAACACTTGTGGAATGGAGGAAGACTCACAATATCCCCAGAAAGGAGCATGCTATGATCATGTCCATTTAGCAGAAAAGAAAACAGAGGCTCAGATGAATGCTGGGATGTGCACATGGCCGCTCTTCAAACTCCAACCTGTCAAATGGGCACAGTTTTCCCTGCCCT